TGGAAGGTTCTCTCCCTGTCCCAAAACACATGCACAGGCACACACAGGGTCTGCTCCACAGGTCAGCAAGAAAAGCATTATTGGCTTTCTTTTTAAAAATCTCTATTTTATTTTTCTGATTTAAAACGTCAAACATTACAAGTAAAGGGCCACCTGTTTACTCAGTCCTATAAGTAGCCACTGCCTCTGGTTTGGTGCCCATTTTTGCAGACTCTTCCATTCAAACATCATGATTATAAGAATGTATACACACACACACACAAGAGATACAGAACTCCCTGAGTTCCTCACTCAGCACTGCCACTTACTGTGCGGCCTTAAATGAGTTACTTAACCTTTCGGAATGTGTTTTCTCATCTGTAAAATGGGTACAAGTCATGGATTGTACATTGTAGGGAAAATTAAATGAATGAACAAAGGTAATGTGCTTAGAACAGGAGATTCAATAAGCATTAGCCATGATTTCAGTTTTCAAATTATGTATGGAGAGCCCTGGACTCTGTTGGGTACATCGGGTGGAGGAGGGAGAGGCTTGGAGTACACCCTCCCCTCATTCCAGCACTTGAATCACATTAGTCTCCCTTTTGTTTTATATGTTGTGAGCTGTTTGGCAAAATAGATTCTTCTGCTTAAAACGAAACAAACAACACACACACACATCCCGGCTGTAAAGCCACTAGCATTGGGGTTTGGGTGAGGGTGTTATCGCCAGACTGAGCTGGTCTAATCCCAGCTCTGCTGTGTGACCTTGGAGGAGTGACTTTGCCTCTCTGAGTCCCTGTATCACCACCTACAAAATGGAGCTAAGAACAGCACCGAGGGATCTTGTGAAGCATCACTGAGATAACGTGTCTGCGTGACACCAAGCCGTCCCGCCAAAGAGGAGCTGCTGCTACTGGTGGGCGTGACTTTGGAATGGATGGCGGGGGGAGTGGTTCTTGTTCAGGGTCTAGAAGCAACCACGGGATGTTGTGGGCAAAGCAACTGTTCTAAAACCTATTCCTTTCTCAGACCTCCCTCTCCCCCAACCTGTGGCTGTTCCTTTGGGGTCAGAGATGAGCCTCTTGGGGCGGTGAAGTCCCTGAAATGGTGCCCACGCACACCTCTTTTGCATCCACTGAAAAATAGTTCTCTTCCTGGCTAAGATCTTAGCTTTCATCAGATACTCAAAGTGGTTGTTAACCCAAGAGGTAAGAACTTCAGAGGCTTCACGTGTGCTCCCCACTGCCTGCAAAGTCCTGCTTCTCTACCGCCGGGCAGCAAGGGCTAGTATTCTCTAAGGCAGTGTTCTGAGGACCCTTGGGGTCCCGGAGACCCTTTCGGGGGTCCGGGGGCCCTCTCTTCTCCACTCTGCATCTTTGTTCCACCTGGCTTTCCTTACACACCTCAACCGGCACAACAGATCACAGCGGACTGAAATGCAGAAGCAGGTTCAACAACTGAGGTGTTTTCTCTTAAGCCAGGCATTACAGAGATGTGCAAAAACGTAAAACCATGCCACTTTGCTCACTAAATTGCAAACCCTGACTCTCCCATAAGACATTTGCTAAGAAACATCTCCAGGGACCACAAGGAAGCTGAAAACCTCAAGGTGGCCCTTGAAGGAAGCTGGTGATAGAAAAGGGTGTTTCTTGGCCAACCAGCACAGACCACTGAATACGTGAAACCTTTTTCTTAAAGGAATAGGTTCAAAGGATTCAAAGTTGACTCTGGACAGACTCCTGTCTTTGCAGGTTGGAGGTTAATAATCAGGGCATCCATCGGCCTTGTTAAAGAGGCTAAAAATTCCTCCTCTTCCCCTCAGTTCCCGCTGTCCCCTGAGAATGGGGAGCACAGTCTCTCACCTGAGGAAATGCTGGCTGCTCTTGGAAGGCATGTAGGTTCCAAAACACAGCTGCGAGGCCTGAGGCATCTCTTTCCCCTATAAGCCCCAGGGTTCCAGGGAAGTTAGACGCAAGAAGGAAGAGCCCTGCCAGGTTCTAAGCAGGAAGGGCAGAGGTTTTGGGGTGAGGGGGAATTTGTGGGTGACTCTCTACTCTCAGACCTTGTTTCCAGAATATTCCAGAACATTCTTGCGGTGTGGTCTGGGCTCTGTCGCTGAATCTCCATCCATCAGGGTGCTGGAAGGAAAGACATGGTAATCGGGGAGGGTTTGGTAAAGGAACCAAGGTGTGAGTGAGGGGAAGAGACCTCAGGAAGGGGTGAGAAGTCCCTTGGGGCGAGCAACTCTGCTTGGAAGAGTCAAGGTGTCCAGAGGGTTCCTGTCTTCTCAGTGGGGGCAATATCACCCCAAAGGGGCAAAGACTGGTTCTCGCGAGAGGAAACCAGTCTTACTCTATTTATGAACTGCAAATACACACACTGTATATCTGTGTATTCCAATTTCCTGAAGTGGCAGGGAGAGGGTGATTAGGGGAAAAAAACTGTCTAGAAAGGCTCCCTAAAGGATGATGATGAAAAGAGGCTGAGAAACACTGCTGTGGGTGATGGAGAGCCGTGAGGGTCAGGGGCTGTGGCCTCTCTGGGCGGAGACAGTCATGGTGACCCCACAGCAGGGGGCCTGAGGTATCAGTACCCCAACCTCTTTCTCCTCCCGCCTCTCACCTTCCTCCAGGGCCACACACACACCTGGGAGCCCCAGAGGGGTTCCGCTGACACGGCGCCTCTGGGCCGGCCTCCCGGGCACAGAGCAGGTGACAACAGTAGATTGGAGGGGGTGGGTGGACAGGATGGTGTCAACATTTGATCCTGAGTTAATTTCCACCCCTTACAAGCTGAGCGATTTTGGATCAGATCTACCTGACACCGTTTTCGGCCTGACTTCCCAGCTCTCTGTTGGAAACTTTATCCCTCTCTCCCTCTCTATCCAAGAATCCACGGGGTCAGACGGTGTGTGGATACGTCAATCATGATATTTGGGGGGAGATGATGGATTAACAGGGAGATAGGGATGTGAAATGGACAGTCACCCTGCAGGGAGATAAGCTGAGGGATGTACAAAGGTCATGTGAAGTGAGGGGAGGCGGGGAGAGGATTCCAGCTGGGCGAGGCCCTGAGAGATGGGGAGCGCTCTTCACGCCGAGGCTGGTCTGCCTCTGTGCCCCTGTTCGTGCCATTCCACCTTAGAATGCTTATCCTTCCTGTCTCCATCTGCTTCAGTTTGACCCATCTAACCTGAGATTCATCTTTTCCACAAAGCCTTTTCTTCCCTGTGGTCTGTACCAACTTCTTGCTTGAGATTTCTTGGAGGTGGAGACAATCCCAACTTTCAATCATTTCTGGTATCCTGTCTCTCAGGACATGTGGAAAACATCTGAGACAGAAGCCCCAGGGCCAGGCTGGAAGCTCCGTGTGTGGCAGTGGATTGGCTCATCAGAGTTATCAGTTCTCAACCCTGGATGCCCATGACAAGGACCTGGGGGGCTTTGAAACATCACCAAGTTCCCAGATGAGTTATTCCAGAATCCTTGGGAGTGGGGTCAAGACATATGTTTATAAGAAACTCCCCAGGGAATCTTAATAAGCAAGCAGGTACAGGATGAATCACGCAACAGACTGTATAATTGGATGACACACACATGACTGTCTATAGTCTTCCTTTTTAAAAAAAATTGAGATAAAACTTAAAATGCACATTTCCATGAATTTTTACCTATGTAAACACCCATGTACCCACCACCCAGATCAAGACATAGAACATCCCCAGCCCATGCCAGGCTCCCTCAAGCCCCTCTGTCACTGTCGCTCTCCCCCGGAGGAACCACTGTTCTGATTTCTATCAACAACCATTCATTAATTTCACCTCGTCTTCAACTCTGGCCCAGTGGAATCGCACAGGGGTTTTGTGTCTGGCCCCTTTTACTCAGTGAACACTGTCTGTGAGTTTCACCCGTGCTGTTGTGTTAGATCCATTGTTGCTTTTTCTTCGCTGACAAGTATTCAGTTGTGTGAACGTGCCACAGTTCATTTACCCATTGTTCTGTTGGTCGGCATTTGGGCTGTTCTGGGTCTTCAGCTATTGCCAACAAAGCTGCTCTGAACATCCTTACAGAGATTTTTGTGTGTGTCTATGTCCCGGCTGTAATTGTACTTTATTCCTTTCTCTCTTCCCTTTGCACCCCAAATCTAATTTTTGATCGTCAATGTTCGTAAACCAACAATTTGTATGCGTTAAGAAAAGGAAGTCAGAATAGTATGTGTCTCCTAGCTTCTTCCTTGAAGTCTTTGTCTTTTCAATAACACCAAGGCCCTGGGCCACTTCCTCCAAACTGCTGTGTCTTCAAAAGTTCCAGATGATGCTAACAGTGACATCAGCTCGATCTTCAGCATTGACGCCACATCTGGAGTTTTCCAGGCGTGTGAACGATCACATCTTGGTTGAGAGGCAGCTGAAAGCACACTTCCTAGTAGAGAGCGTGGCCGTCACGATGTTCTTGATTCTCAGTTCTGGCAGCTGTGTTGACAGCCATCTTTTATGTCAATAATCCTTTGCACTCAGATGATTTCAGCACCCAAGATGGTACGTACATAGTAGGTCTTCAACAAACATTTGTTGATTGAATGTCAACCTGCTGCAAGCTCAGGCAGAGAGCAGTGGGATCAGCATCTACGCTGCGGAGTTGGCACCTTCCCCTGGGGCACGGTGGCTTCTCTTGGCCCAGCTGGACCTTGACCTCAGCTGGGACTGGATTACGGGGGCAGGACCGGGATGGCCCCGCTGTCAGATTCTAGGAACCAGGGCTCACACGTTCATCCCACCTGGATGTCACTTGTGCTTTCAACCATCCACATTTCTGAAGCCTCAACTCTAGGAAATCTGGAGTTTGTGGCCATTGTATGATTTCTATTTCAATGATTACCTTTGCTTACCAAGGATTTATGTGGTTCTCTCAAGAGACCACAAAACACTGAATACATATCTTCTTCTCCTCTTCCTCCTCCTCCTCCTTCTTCTAACATTATGTAAAGAATTTGCACATTCTCATAACTTTTCTTTCTTGTTCCACAAAGCATCTCTTGTCACAAGGCGCTTCAAAACCTGGAAACCCAGGGGACCGCAGAAAGGTCTCTGCAGGGCGCGTGCAGAAAAATTTTCTTTCTCTTACTCTTGTTCACGATTTATCACCTTGGGCCCTTTCTCCATCCAGGTTCAATAAACACATGAGTTAAACCCAGAAAGCAATCTTTCTCAAATAGTGATGTCTGTCCACAAAACTAGCTTTTGGATGAAATAAGGATCACATGTGAAAAAAGAATCCTTGTTGATTTTGATTCATTTCCCCTTAGCCCTTCCCGATAAATACGGAACTCGAAGTTGAGATATTCAAGCAAACAGTAGGTTCATTTAACCATCAATGACAGCTCTTCCATATCCGGTGTTTCATGGTAGAATCTCAAGGCTGCTGCTTTTGAGCTCAGACTCACCCATATTGTTACTCACTTCTCTTGGGCCCTAATTCTTTACTCCATGTACCAGCCCAAGGGGTGCTTTTTGACAACAAATAGCAGAAAACCCAACTGTGTCTTAAATGGGGGCCATTCTTCTCCTTTTATCATGAAAAAAATCTGGAGGGAAGTGTGGCTTGTCTGTTTTTGTGATTCTCATGGCCTTTCCCTCAAGGTTGCAAAATAGCTGCTGCAGCTCCAGGCATCACATCTGAGTTAAAGGCAAAAAGAAAGGAGGAAGGGAGAGGGCCTGCAGTTTCACTCTCTCTTGATCAGGAAAACAAAAAAAATTTCCTGGGAAGCTTCTAGCAAATTTCTGCATAGGTCAGATTGGCTAGAATTTTGTCTCAGACTCCTCTAGCTGCCAGGGGGGCTGGGGAAGCAAGTGGAAGGCAGCACAGGCCAAGGAGATTAGAAATGACTGGTTAGCCCCGGGCACCTGCCGCATCCTGTTTCCATCCTACCTCCCACACTTCACTCTTACAACATTGATGTCTTTCCTGTTTGAATGCATCGTGAGCCCTCGACAGTTGCCTCTGAATCTCTCGAGCCCATTCTGCACATCATCCGCTGTGTTCCAAGAAACCTGGCCAACTCTGCGTCCTTAAGGAGAGGGGCCCCTGCTTCTATGAACTTGCTTGTCTCTCTGCCCGAGATGTTGCTCATCCCCCCTCACTTCCATCATGTACAGTTGGTCTCTTTCGAGTCTTTAAGTCTGGGCTTAAATGTCACTTCCTTGGAATGGCCTTCCCAGACCAAAGTCAGCCCTTTCACTAGCCTTCATCCCTACCTGAAATTACACATTTATTCCTATAACTTGCCTTGCCTTCTGCTTTCCTGCCAGACCTCAGGAGGTAAGAACTTTCTGTCCGGGCTGTACGCACTTGCCCCCGGCACTGCAAAACACAGTGCCAGGCTCTCCAGAAACATTTGTGGAATGAATAAGTGAAAGGGAAGAGGGAAAAAAAAGCCAATAGTCTCAGAATTGTTGGCAGATATTGTCAAATGGGGACAATGGTTCAAATAAAACCAGACCTTTACATAACGGCACTCTTGATAGGAGTGAGATGTGTGTACACACACGTGCACACACACACACACACGCACACACACACATAACAAAAGAAAACAAGAATTAAAAAGCCGAGGAATTCTGAAGCATAATAAAAATAAAAGACACCCTCAAAAAAAAAATAGAGAAAGAAATTAAGACCCCCTCATAGTTCCCACCAGCCCCTTTGCTTCATTCATGTTTGGGGACCATGAGGGGGAAGCCAGGCAGCCTCAGTGGACAGAGAACAGTTAATCATTTGCAGCCCTCTCTGATTTTTAGGCTCCAAGGCATTTCTTCTCATGTGGCCCCAGAGCTGCTAGCTTGTGCCAGTCGGACCGCGGCACGGAGGGACCAGGCCGTATTTCACCTAAAACGCACGTGTGCACCTTTGTTTGGAAAAATGCTGGCCTGAAAACTGTCCCACCTCCGTGAGAGGGGTCTCGCCCACGAAGGTCCCTGGAGGTGCCCCGTCTCCACCCGGGCAACCTCCCACCTTGATGCTCCCCTCCTAAGAGGTCACCTGCAGGCCAAGTTCATTTCCACTAAACGTTCACCTTCCGAGGCCAGGGCCGTGTCTCTCATCTTTGCCACTCCGGCGCCTGGCACATAGTGGATGCTTATTAAATGCTGGGTGTGGTCCTGTTGAAACCCCACCTTCTTCTGATCACTGGGAAGACTCTGCCCCTCCCACGTGAAGCTTATGCAGTTCATTCTTGTCCCAGCAACTCCACACCCTTTTTGGCACAGGGTCTGTGCTCTGCCCGTCGGCGCCCAGCCTGCAGGAGCTCCATAGAAACAGACCCACAGGGGCAGCACTCTGAATGCCAGGTGCAAAGTTCTTGCTCCCAGGAACGCTGAGCGAAGGGAGCTGATGCTTCTTGTAAAAGCAGATTAGGAAGCAGCTTTTGCCTCCGCAGTGTTCTGGATTTGAGAACATCAGCTACACGTGAAGGGAGACGTGAGGGAGGCAAGTGGGTGGAGAGAGGTGCAGGGACCAGGGTCCTCAGTTCCGCGTCGAATCATTTCCAGAGCCCTCTGGGTGGACCTCCCAGGCCACTCTTTATCTCCTTCCTGCCTGGACCACCTCCGCTGGCCGTGACATTCCCTGCCTGTGCACAGTGCCCAGTGCCTTCTCTGGTTGCTGGGTTCCCTCTGTCCGGCCAAGTTTGCATCTTTGGGGCCTCCTGCCACCCAGGTTCTGCTCTGGTCCCGATTTTCGAGGGCGTCCTGGGAGGGTGAGCTGAGGCACTGAGCATCCGCAGCCGGATGTGGTGTGAGCCACCCTCTCTGCGTGTCTGGGTAGCCCCAGGTGACGTTCAGGGGAGGTGGCTGCAGCCAGGCAGCAAGCAGGCGGGACTTTGGTAACATTTCCCCTTTCAAGGACGGGAGGGCCACCGTCCGGCCTTGACCGGAGCCCATGGAGGAGGCCCAGGCCTCTTCTCCCCAGCGACACCGTTCTCACAACCAGAAGAGTGAATCTGAATAAAGAGAAGCCATGGGAAGAGAGCCGCCACCACCCCACCCCCTGCCACCGCCACGGTTTCCAGGCGACACGCGGGCTGTCGCGGTCGCTGTCATACAAACCCTCTTCCCGTAAGACGGCGGGTCCCATGGGGAGAAGGGGTGAAGAGGAATATTTTATCAGTCGTGTACATATGTAACCAGAAATGGGGCTGAAAAGCAAAACCTCGTTTCCCTGAATAGAGCGAAGGAGGGCGGAGGGAGAGGGCTGGCGGGGCGGCTGGAAGGGGCTTATCTGCGCCAGGTCAACAGCCAGAACATGGACGGGACCGCGGTTCTCACCCTCCTGTTGTCAGTGTAACACAGACGGCTGTTCCGGGGACGAAGTTTAAAAGCCATCTTGTTTTCGTGTAAGAATCTGATATATATATATATATAAAAGGTGAAGGGAAAAAAACAAAGAAGAAGAAATGTTTAAAAACTGCACAGGAATAGGAAGGTGATTCTCCAGCAGAGAAGGGAGCCGAAGTTCCCATTCGCAGGCCACTTGTCACTCGTGTTTTGAGGATGGCTTTGCTCCTGCGGGGAGCAAGCCCTAAGGGCTGGCCTCCTGTGAGTTGAAGTGCCAAGTTCATTCTGCAGCTGGGGCGAGCCAGTGTGGTGCTTGGACGGAGAAAGTCAGGCTTCCCCTCAGGGTCTGAAGAGGCAGGAGGCTGTCCAGGCACGTGGGATGGAAGGTGCAATCTCTCCTCTGCTCTGAAAAAGGCAGCATCTCTCCCCTGCCCCCGTGAGCACCATCCTCTTTGGATCTAAAGCACGAGGGGAAAAACACAACAAAAATAATGGGCTGAAATGCTTGCTTTGCCCAAGGATTGAGTGTGAAAGGGACCAACCTGGCAGCCACCGGCCGGTCTGCCCAGGGAAAGGGACCGCTCAAACGGCGTGTCGTGAATGAGGCTGGTTTATCTGTGCTGCGCTAGTTGGGGACGTAGGAGGAGAAGGTAGAGACCCACCGGCGGGCTGGGAGGCAGAAATGAGGCGTTCTCCTGGCCACTGGTCTTGACGGCCATTCCCCAAGAACAGAGCACGGACACAATCAGATGGGAAGACAGCACAACCTTCGCCTGCCCTGCCCAGACTCAGGCTGGGGGCTCCTGCTACCAGCTCACGCAGAAGTTTGTGAGATTATTAAAGTTAAGCAAAGAGGGATGGAGAGCGAGCAGGAGAGAGAGAGAGAAGAGGAAAGACACAGAGAGAGAGAGGAGAGAGGGAGAGAGAGGTGAGAAACGCAAGAACCCATCTGGGCAATGCATCACATTGAAATTGCCCCGCATTAAAAATTCACCAGCCAGTGAATTTTCAAGGGATTTGTAGTAATTAGATGACAAAATGCTGGCAAATCTCAGGCTTGCCAAAGATGTTACTCAGGGGTCAAAGACTCGACACTTTCGGCTGGGTAATTTGTAAGTGTCAATCACTCGCTGCCATCAGAGAGAAGGGAACGATCTAACGGCTGCATTCTAACTAAGTCGAGGCGCGAGCCTTCAGCCGGCCGTCTGCCAGCAAACCCCCAGACCCCGCGGCCGCTCCACGCTCCGGCTCAGGCGCAGACAGCGGCTGCGGCCCCGCCTGGGGCTCGGAGCCACGCCGGCCAACCCAACTTTCCAACTTCTTGACTGATTTTACTCCCCGTTGTCACTCTCGGAAAGCAGGGGCTTGCCAAGAGTTGGACATCCCTTCTTCACGGCAGGGCAAGTTTCCTGTGGCCGGCAGCCGGTGAAGGGCGAAATGGGGCTCTCGGTGCCTGTGCGGGGCCCCGGGGCCTCAGTCTTCTGATCTGCAAAGTGGGGGTAAGACTCGCCTGGCAGGGCCGTTCAGACTGAAGGAGGAAGCACTCACTCTCTACCTATTGAACAGACCCAGTGTCTACACGGCCTTGTCCCAGGAGCTGTGCTGGGCTGAGAGAACACACCTGGCGGCCTCAGGGAACATTCTAGTTGGTGGTGGTGGGGTGAACAGACAATAAACAAACAAATCAACAGAAAGCCTGTCGGAGGGTGGTAAGTGCTGGGAAGAAAATGAAACAGAGTTGGGAGGAAGGGGAGGAAATGAGAGGTGGGCGCCCACCAGAGGGCCCTGCAAGGCCAAGCCCCGAGGCCCCGAGGCCTGGACGACTCTGTTCTGAGATTTCTCCTAAGGCTGGAGACTGGGACAAAGGCAGGCAGGGATGGGGTGGGACTCGGCCCCCCAAAGCCTTTGATGCCTTGATGTCCCAAGAAGCTGGACTCGGTACAGCCCAGACTGGAAGGCCCCTGCTCATATCTGATCCTGGTCCTAAAGAGGAGAGAAAGCACCTGGAGATGCGCACACGTGGTGTCTGGCCTGTCTGTGGGCCTTGGCCGATTGCTGTAGGGCGAGCAGATCTCATTTCAGCTCCTCACGCTGAAAGCGAGCTGCAAAGGGGACTGTGAGCCCGAAGGTAAAATGATGCCGTCAGGACAGCGGCTGGCCCGGGACTGCCTGCAGCCCAGAATGGAGACAGATGAGGAGCGATCACTCTCTCCCTCACTGCTCCTGCCCATCAGGGTATTTTTTTGGAAAGAGCACTGGCTTTGGAGCCAGATGGACCCCAGGCCCTGAAGGCTGACTCTGCTGTTTCTGAGCTGTGTGGCCCTGGGGAAGGCACTCCATCTCTTTGAGCCTCAGTTTCCGCATCTGGGCCACGGGCACATGGGCCCCGCTCACACAGTACAGACAGGCGTTATTAATAAAAAATCTGGCTCGGAGGGGGTTCTCAACAGAAGTACTTCGCATTCGAACACAGCCCCGAGAAAGGAAAGATGGTCGGACTCCGGCTTAACGAGCACCCCAATCGGCAGAAGTCTGTAGCCAAACCACACTTCGGGGGGATAAACCAGGGGGCAAAGCTCTGCTTTAAAAGAGCTGGAACAGAGAGTCTCTGTATCGTTCGCTGCCTGGTTTGCAAAATAAATGTCCAAAGTGGAATCCCTATGCCGAGAATATTTATGTATTTGGCGAATACTCACACTGGGTCCGGGCAGGGGCTGGGGCTAGTATCTGTAAATCACTCTCTCCCCGGAGCTCTTCCTGTTCATTTCACATTTGTGTTGGTGGGGGCAGGGCGCCGTGCTGGGCGCATTTATTTCTCTCACCCGCCTCCTTCCCGGGGCCGGGTCTCCATCCCCGCAAGCCTCGGCTGCAGGTTTAACTGGGCTGTGGAACTGCTCAAGGGGAAAATGAGAAACTACCCCGTGTTTCAGGGCAGGCAGTGGGCTGGGCTTCCCGACTCCGATGGCCAACCGTCACCACCCCCACGGAGCTCGAATAACTGGAAGCTCCCCTCTCGGGACTGGGAGGCACCCACGGAACCCACACCGAGCTTCCCTGCCGCTCAGAGGCCCCGAGGCCCACTTGAGATGCAAATGACAATTAGCAGCAGCAGCAGCAGCAAGTCGGGGCCGCTATTCTCCAAGGCCCCTCGTGAATATCGCCCGTCTCTGCAGTTTCGACTGGGGAATCGGAGCTGACCCGGCATTTGCTTAAGGATCAATGGGACTGAGAATCCTCACACAGGTAACACGAATCACCACCCGCCCCTACAACGCTGCTGTTCACTGAGCACTTACTGCCGGCCAGGCGCTGAGCTGAGGCCTCGTGAGCTTCCCCTCAGCTCGCCCTCACAAGGACCCGGTGGCATTGGTAGATGACCGTCCCTGAGCCCATGTGCGGGTGGCCCCCTCCCACTTCCGGTGCCCTCTCCTTGCTCTGATCTCCAGCCCTTCTCTCTGCCCGACATTGCTTTGCAGGTATGTTGTGGACGGCCCCAGGCTTGTTTGTGATGAAGGCAGGCGACCTCTTCACCTCCCTGGGTCAGAGCCTGCAGATTTTAAACTACCTGTTTACTGTGAATCAGGGCAAGAGCTGATGTGGTGGGCGGGCCCTGGAGGACGCGGACTACGTCTGAGCCAGCAGAGGCCACGGCTTGGGCTGGGCACACGGCCTTC